GACGCCGTGTGTTCATTGTGTGTGTATATGTTCACTGTGTGTGTGTGTGTGTGTGTGTGTGAATTTTGAGTGTGTTTTGTGTGTGGAAGTGAAACAGATGGGAAGCAGGTGGGATTGGTGGGGATGGTGATAGATATCACATGGTGGGTATTGGGTGGGACCCACTATGAGCGGTGGATTAGATGTATTTGTGTATAATGCCCGTTTTACCCTTATTATGTGGTCAAATTTAAATATTTGACCACCATGTATATATTTAATTACTATATTGTCATTAATGATTGATCATTATTTATTAATGTTTGACTTGATCATATCCATTGATATAATGTATCCAATGGTACAGAATTATTCTCATTTCTCTCATTGTGTTCCTTTCTCATTTGAGCGCATTTCTATATATATATATATATATATAAGTTGGTTTAAATATTTGAATGTTTCAAATTGCCTATATATTAAATTACGAAATATTATATATAATTTTATTATATCTAAATATAATATATTTAAAATTATCATTAAATTAAATAACAATTCAACAAATTCAATCCCTAGTCGGATTAGTGGAAATTGAACCAGTAACTTGATCGGTTCAATGACCATTCCACCTTCATAACATTGTTTAACGCACCCACCGCATATTAGGGTAATTTATTTTAAAAAAAAAAAATCTACAAAATAAGTGGACAAAAAAAAAGAAAAAAATGAGTGGACCTAAATAAAAAAACTCGTATTCAGAGAATACAATTTTTTGAAAAAAAAATTAGAAAAACGTATTCCTGGAATACGTTCTTATTTTACTTTTGTAAATAAAAAAAAAAAAGAAAACAATTTCAAAATTGTTTGCGTTAAATTAAAAAAAGAAATAAAAATGTATTATCCAAATACGTTATTTAATTTAAAACACGTATTTCAAAAATACGTCTTAAATTTTGAAGTTTTATTTTTTTTTTTTTAAAAAAAAAGAAAACATATGAAACCGTATTTACGAAATACGATTTTTAAAATTCAGTGCGTTTAATAAAAAAAATATATATTTACATAAAACGTATTTAGCGAATACGTTTTACAATTAAATACATGTAAAACGTGTTCTCTAAATACGTTTTCATGTTAAATACATTAAAAAAATATCTTCTTCTCCATTCATTTTACACGAGAAACAGAGAGCAGAGAAGAAAGAAAGAACAGAAAGAGCGAAAATACTTCAGAAAAAAAAAAGAAAAAAAAAAAAAAACTCGATCTGATCCTCACCCCGACGTGAACCGACAACAGCGGCACGAGCTTTATTTTCGGTTAATTCATTCGCACGAGGTATATTGACTTATCTTAACTTTTTATATTTGTTTGGAGTTATTTGGAGATTGAGAATTGTTTTAATATGTTTGAATGTGGTGGTGTTTGAAGATTGAAATTGCTAATTGATTATCGATTATGTGTGTATGTTGAATTGGAGATTGAAATTTTGTGTGTAAATTGTCAATTGTATATTGTTTGGTTGTTGTTGGGGTTAGAGTTTTTTGAAATTAGGGTTAGAATTAGAGTTTCAATATATCAGAATCATAGATGAATTCTATGTTATTGTTCGATAAGGTATTAGGGTTTTGAAGGATTATTTGATTGGGAATATTTTTTTTTTTTTTTGGTTTTTTTGGTT